GTAGCTGGAACTGCAGACATGCGCCACCATGCCCCACTGATTTTTTACATTTTTAGTAGAGACAGGGTTTCACCATGCTGGCCTGGCTGATCTTGAACTCCTGATTTCAAGTGATCTGCCTGCTTCAGCCTCCCAAAGTGCTGGGATTACAGGTGTGAGCCACCATGCCTGGCCTCAATTTCTCCTTTTATACTTTCTGTCATGTTCAGTGCAACTCCATCCTAGGTGCAAACTCATCCTCGGTCCAAGAGTCCAGCCCCTACTAGCCTAAGGTCTTTTGTCAACTCTCTCTAGGGAATAACTTGGATCAGCTGCCAAGAAAATGAACATTGTTTTCCCTCACAATGGTATACACTATATATAGCATGATGGATCTTGGAAAGGGTCTAACCATGGATTCTAATTTGTTACTTTAAAACAAATTTGTGCCCATTCTGGTCTGGAAAGGTGATGCTTAGGTTGCCACATGCACCCATTCATTGGTCCTCTCAGGGCAGTCATAGTGTCCTACTGTGCTGTACCCTCCTGGTGTCTGGCGCTACCCACAGACAGTGACGTGAAAGAATAAAACTCAAGTAGGGATGTTGGTACATCTGACTCCTCCTGGGGACAGACATGGGGTCAATATGAGCTTATGGCCCATGTCTTAAGCTGGAGAGATCTCCTATTTTGGCTGCTGTGTACTGACAAGTTTGCATTGGTGGAGGTTGAGGTTTTATGACAAACGTTATTTTCCTCTTTAATCCAATCTTGGGGCCTTATTCCATCTCATCACAGATGATGTTGCTGCGGCCTCTCAGTTACAGTGAGTCATACATGGTCCACCACTGGTTTTGTGAGGTAGAGACAGGCCATGAGCTGGCCCGAGGGTCAAGGATCAGGCATTCATGTTAACAAGTGCCCTTGCTCTGTGACAAAATTCTCCTTTTACAGAGCACAAGCAGGGTTGTGTGTGAATGGACATGCTTGTTGGTCCTGCGTGGATGACGTTTTGGATAGGTGACATGGAATAATTCAGCCTAGTTAATATACCAGGAGGAATGAGAATTTGGAGCCTGAGTTTCAGAGACTTCTTTCTCTGGTTTTAGGTGTCCCCTCATCCTTGCCTCAGTGTTGACCTGCAGGAGGACTCCCCTGATTGGTGGTTCGGGTTCTCTCTGAGGATGGGGGAGGAAGAAATCCAAGTGGGCGGCTCCGAGCTTGGTGGGGCAGAGCTGCAGAGCCCCTGCCATGCCCAGGGGTGTACTTTAAACGCCCCTCTAATTAGATCCGCCTAAACACCATCATTGTTTGCATTCTGTCAGAGGCCCAGAGGGGAGAGGTGTGCACCAGTGGTCACATGGCTAGTGAAGAGGGGACACAGACCTACTCTTCTCGAGCTGGGCTGTACTTTCCATTTTGTCCTTGGCCCCACCCAGCACCGCTTGACCACAGAGAGTGCACAGCCCCAACCCGCCCTGCTGTAGAACCCGTCACCCGCTAGAACTCCAGCAGCTCCGTGGTCAGCTGGAGAGCGAGCAGAGTCTGGCATCTGCCGGCTCTCCACTTCTGCTTTCTCCAGGAAATGAGCATAGACCCAACGCGAGTGATTCAGAGTGAAACGGTGCGGAAGGCTGACGATGCGGGGCTGGGTCCTCTTCCCCGGTGCCTGAGGGGCTGCGGCTGGGGATGAGGGGGCCCATGCCATCTGACGTGTGCAGGCGCTGACGGCCACCCCTCCAGGTAGGCCACCTTGCTCTTGGCCGAGCCAGGCCGGCCCAGAGGTGGGCATGGGGGCCCCGCCTGTCAGCGTGGGGCCTGCTGGCTGCCTCTGGGGAGGCTGAGCATGGGGGCACATGTGACCCAGTGGCTGGTTCGGGTTTGTGGATGTGGGAGAGGAGGTGAGCTGGGGAGCAGGAAGTGTGCGTGGCTTGCGCGGCCCATGTGGTCAGGGCCACTCCAGGCCTGGGTCTGCCGGGGCGTGTGTCAAGGCTGGGGTTTGGGAGTCAGGCTGGGCTCCAGCAGCTCTCCACTGCTCGCCTTTCTCGGGGTGCTGTTGCAAAGGAAACCCTGGGAAGGGCTGACACGGGCTGTGCTACTTGTCAAGGGGGCGGAGAGAGTGGGTTGAGAGTGAGGCTCACCCTTCAACCCCCGCTAGGCCTCTGAGGAGTGCAGAGTGCGGGGCCATTTCCAACAGGCTACTGAGGGAGCTGGTCTGTCCCTGCCCTGCCGCCACTCACTGGGTTCTGGTAAGTAGGTGCCTCCCTGGTCTCACTTCCCTCATCTGAATTATTACAGCAAACCATTGAAACACCAGCATTTTCTGCCTAAGCAGGGCCACCTGGCTCAGTAAGGACTGATTCTTCTCTTCCCTTGAAGTGAAACTTCTAGAACACTAAACCGATTTAAATTAGTGTTCTAGTTTTCTGTATGGTGTGAGGGGTAGCTGATCTGATAACTAAGGGTTCTATGTATTATGCTTTACACGGAGCACAGTAATTTTAATATGAGTTTCTGTACAGCCATTCATTTAATTATTTAAAAAATAGGTATTGAGAGGCCCTGCCCTGCCAGTCTCTGGTCAAAGTGGACAGGGGTCTGCGGTGCTCAGTGGGTGGGAGAGTGGCAGGTAGCGTGGGGGTCTTGGGAGGGTGGGGATGGCTCCAGTCTTCTGAGAGAGGACCTGAAGGAGGGATGCTGAGCCCTGTGGGTTTCTGAGAAGTGTTCTTGACAAGGATCTGGAGGAGGAGACCTGGTGGAAGTCCATGTGGCATAGTGGGGTGAGGGACATGCCTGGGGGCTCTGGCCAGAGAGGTAGAGAACAGGGTCAGGTCAGGGAGGCCCTTCCTGTCTGTCCATCCTGAGTATCTGGTTT